CACTCGAGGTGATCCAAGATGAGGGCGAAATTCACATGACAAGCTTGCTGACACTCGGAGCGAATTGAATTATCAGTGGTACGTTTACCACTGACAAGTTGTTTCGAGTGACAGCTTGAGCTACGAGTAACGTGGCTTGGGGCTGTTTGACACTGCAAACCACACAATCATCGTTGTACACCAAGACCAGCGAAACCAAAGAAATTAAAAACAATCCGAAAGCACAACCCAGATAATTGAACAATATGACTCTCATCCTAGCTCTCGGCGGCGAATGGTCCATGCCGCATGACTCTCTCTTAGATGCTACACTCAAACCCTGACACTGCTAGCGGCGATGGGTCATGCCGCAACCAAATGACACTACACTCTGAAGCGATGACCCTGACTGCAATCGCCCAGTGTCCTGCCATCGCTTGACACTGGAAGGTCGGGCCTCGGTGATGCAATGTGATACATGTGACACTGATAATACAACTCTTGCAAGTCAGTGCTATGACACTCTGCCGACCTACCTATGGCATCTGACTCTAGCAGGTTTACGATAAGAACATGACTCTCATCCTAGCTCTCGGCGGCGAATGGTCCATGCCGCATGACTCTCTTAGATGCTACCCTCAGACCATGACACTGCTAGCGGCGAATGGGTCATGCCGCAACAACATGACACTACACCCTGGATGCCTCTGTGCTCTCAGGCCCTGACCCTGACTGCAATCGCTCGGTGTCCTGCCATCGCTTGACACTGGAAGGTCTGGCCTCAGTGATGCAATGTGATACATGTGACACTCACAAAACTGCTCTTGCAAGGCACTGCTATGACACTCTGCCGGCCTACCTATGGCATGTGACTCTAGCAGATTAATAGACGATAATTGAACAATATGACTCTCATCCTAGCTCTCGGCAGCGAATGGTCCATGCCGCATGACTCTCTCTTAGATGCTACACTCAAACCCTGACCCTGCTAGCGGCGAATGGGTCATGCCGCAACAAAATGACACTGCACTCTGAAGCGATGACCCCGACTGCTATCGCCCAGTGTCCTGCCATCGCTTGACACTGGAAGGTCGGGCCTCAGTGATGCAATGTGATACATGTGACACTGATAATACAACTCTTGCAAGTGAGTGCTATGACACTCAGCCGACCTACCTATGGCATCTGACTCTAGCAGATAATAGACGATAAGAACATGACTCTCATCCTAGCTGTCGGCGGCGAATGGTCCATGCCGCATGACTCTCTTAGATTTTGCCCTCAAACCATGACACTGCTAGCGGCGAATTCGGTCATGCCGCAACAACATGACACTACACCCTGGATGCCTCTGTGCTCTCAGGCGCTGACCCTGACTGCAATCGCTCGGTGTCCTGCCATCGCTTGACACTGGAAGGTCTGGCCTCAGTGATGCAATGTGATACATGTGACACTCACAAAACTGCTCTTGCAAGTCACTGCTATGACACTCTGCCGGCCTACCTATGGCATGTGACTCTAGCAGATTAATAGACGATAATTTAATTGAACAATATGACTCTCATCCTAGCTCTCGGCAGCGAATGGTCCATGCCGCATGACTCTCTCTTAGATGCTACACTCAAACCCTGACACTGCTAGCGGCGAATGGGTCATGCCGCAACAAAATGACACTGCACTCTGAAGCGATGACCCTGACTGCAATCGCCCAGTGTCCTGCCATCGCTTGACACTGGAAGGTCGGGCCTCGGTGATGCAATGTGATACATGTGACACTGATAATACAACTCTTGCAAGTCAGTGCTATGACACTCTGCCGACCTACCTATGGCATCTGACTCTAGCAGATTACGATAAGAACATGACTCTCATCCTAGCTCTCGGCGGCGAATGGTCCATGCCGCATGACTCTCTTAGATGCTACCCTCAGACCATGACACTGCTAGCGGCGAATGGGTCATGCCGCAACAACATGACACTACACCCTGGATGCCTCTGTGCTCTCAGGCGCTGACCCTGACTGCAATCGCTCGGTGTCCTGCCATCGCTTGACACTGGAATGTCTGGCCTCAGTGATGCAATGTGATGCATGTGACACTCACAAACTGCTCTTGCAAGTCACTGCTGTGACACTCTTGGCATGTGACTCTAGCAGCTTAGATGATGATTGAACATGACTCTCATCCTAGCTCTCGGCGGCGAATGGTCCATGCCGCATGACTCTCTCTTAGATGCTACACTCAAACCTTGACCCTGCTAGCGGCAAATGGGTCATGCCGCAACAAAATGACACTGCACTCTGAAGCGATGACCCCGACTGCTATCGCCCAGTGTCCTGCCATCGCTTGACACTGGAAGGTCGGGCCTCGGTGATGCAATGTGTTTAATATATTGAATTCAAATTATTGTTATATGTGACACTGACAAAAACTGCTCTTGCAAGTCACTGCTATGACACTCTGCCGACCTACCTATGGCATCTGGGTCTAGCAATTTTGAATTTAATTATTAATAATATTTATTATTTATAAATCACTAATTAATTTAAATATGTCATGTTTAAAATAATATGTCATTAATTAAAATAGACGACGACGATAATAATCATTGAACAATATGACTCTCATCCTAGCTCTCGGCGGCGAATGGTCCATGCCGCATGACTCTTTCTTAGATTAGATGCTACACTCAAACCCTGACACTGCTAGCGGCGAATGGGTCATGCCGCACAAAATGACACTGCACTCCGGATGCATCTGCGCTCTCAGGCGATGACCCTGACTGCAATCGCTCAGTGTCCTGCCATCGCTTGACACTGGAAGGTCTGGCCTCGGTGATGCAATGTGGTACCTGACACTGACAAACTGCTCTTGCAAGTCACTGCTATGACACTCTGCCGACCTACCTATGGCATCTGACTCTAGCAGACGATAAGAACATGACTCTCATCCTAGCTCTCGGCGGCGAATGGTCCATGCCGCATGACTCTCTCTTAGATGCTACCCTCAGACCCTGACCCTGCTAGCGGCGAATGGGTCTTGCCGCAGCGGCGAATGGGTCTTGCCGCAAACACCAGCATGACTCTGCACTCTAGGGCTCCACGCTGACACTCGAGGTGATCCACGGTGAGGGCGATGTTCACATGAGAAGCTTGCTGACACTCGAAGCGAATTGTCAGTGGTAAATTACCACTGACAATTCGTTTCGAGTGGCAGCTTGAGCTAACGTGGCTTATGGTTGTTTGACACTACAAACTTATGGTTGTTTGACACTACAAACCATACAATCAATCGTTGTATACCAAGACCCAGCAAAACCACAGAAATTAAAAACACTCCGAAAGCACAGCCCAGTAACTTCAATTAAATCAAGTTCCTTAACAAGAGCCCAGTTTCTCCAGTAAAGGGGTGAGCAGCGAGTCCAACCGGAACCATGCAGCATAGTGGAGAGCCGTGTTGCCGTCGGAGTCCTACTTGTCGGGTATCATGGGGAACTAGAGGTTAACGCTTTGGGGGTATATAGGGATTATAATATATTGGCTATACTACCCCAAAAAGCTTAAAGGTTACCTACTCTACTACAACCCTAAACCCTTTTGCAGCCGGCTTGCTTCGTCGCCCGGGAACTCCCTCAACCCTAAACCCTAAACCCCGAAACCCGTTTTGCATCCAGGCCTATTGCGACTGCCGGGTACCCCGAAACCCTCTCTCTCTCTCTCTCTCTCTCCCAGGCATTCGAAACGTCAAGCCCGGTTTACCCCGAAACCCTAAACCCCTAAACCCTAACCTCTAAACCTAGGGAGTCCTGAACATCTGCCCGGTAGCCCTGCGACAGCATCTCGATGACTGCCTCTGTGTTTTGTTGCGCAGCAGCATCTGCGACAGATGCATATCCTTACTTGTCCAGTCCCAATAGGTCCAAGTATCACTATGGTATATACTTAGACCCCCAAAATACCCTATAAGTATATACTGTAATGATACCTGGACCCTTGGGGAGTCCTTTCGGGCTGCTGAAGAATAAACAGAAAGAGATAGAACCCCTTGAAATGTCAAAGCGGGGCTACTCTGCTTCTGAGTGTCTGCCGCCACTGCTGCAGGGCGTGGGATTCGACTGCGCACCCCAGCTCTTCATGCTTCGAGGTCGCCGCTGTTCGCCGTTTACAACTAGGGCTACCATGAAGGCCTTCAGAAATACTACCTTGCTTCTGCATTCGAACCACCCTCAAATTCTGGATAAAAGTTAAGAGTGACCGTTCCTCTGAGCATTCGAGATCTACCGGGCTCGCGAATCGTCTTGAGCCCGTAGCCGCTCGAAGACTCAGGGCTCCATGCGTCCCCTACATGAATCTCGCCGCTGCTTAGAGTTCAGGGTTTAGAGGTTTATCGTCTATCCATAGGCTCCATAGTAGTTTTTTTTCCCTCCTACCTAGCAAGGACGAAGCCCGCATTGCAGGGTGTCTCGGTTGAACAGTTGACTACAGCCACACGTTTCGATATTCAAAACTCGGCTAATCTTGTGTATAACTCCACGACCAGAAAGACTAGCTATTCCCGTCGTCGAGTCAAGACAAAGGCTGACCATCTACTAAGTAGAATGGTCAACGTTAGTGCGCCCTGTACAGCAAGTTCGGCAGGATCACTCAAGTTTCATGGGGTTTCAGCAAAATGCCGTTCGCTTCCAGTCATTGGTTGGTTTGGATGGTGCACTCCACTCGGTCGCAAAAAAGAGCAAGCATGCAATGAGGCATGCAGTCAATTAGCGGCTCGACAGCTGTCAGAATAGGACCTGCGCGCATGGGTTTTGGCACTGTATGTAGTCATCGACAGGTGTTTGCAGCCAATTAGGGTGTGGGTTTTGCACTAATTGAAGATCCACTCATCGTCTGTGGTCAGCATGCAGTTGCAGGTTCAAAAGGTTCGGACTCATGCATCCATAATGGCGCTAGGCTATGAATGTACCCACCAGCAGGCCGTAGTGGGCAAATTCATAGACAGAGCAGCCTGAATAAGAAGTGTCTCTCAGGTCTGATTTGCAGCAGGAGTAGGCTTGGCATCCATTTGTGATCGACCAAAGACATGCCGCAACCAGTCCCAAGAAGCCTGATGCAGCATAGTAGTTCCTTTTGGGGTTTAACTTATAGGATTATAAAAGAAGGAACTACTATGGAGTCTCTAGGTATTCCATCATGAATCCGCCATGCCAAGAAGATAACCTGGCGCCAGAACCCACGGCTTGCTGCACTCGAAACATTCGCGGGCCTCTGTAAAAGTCGGGTTCAAGGGCACGGCACAGGCACGGTGCATAACCTCGCGGATGAACCCTAAACCCTAAACCCGAACCCTAAACCCTAAACGTCGGGCGAAGGATGGGGGTTTAGGCTTCTGGGGTCTATAGGAGACAGAAGAGCCTATATGGGGGTTTCCGAAAACAGGGGACCCCAATATAGTACCCTAAATAGTAGGAACCTTATTAGAGGGAAACCAAAATGAGGTACCTCTAATTTTCGGAACCCCCCACATATACAGAGTCTTCACTATATAGGGTCCAGGGTCTGGGAGTTTCGATTTTTCACCAGACCGAGGATTGAAGACTTTCGGAGGTACCTTGGAATGAGGATCCTACTATTTCAGGGCTCCTTACCTTACCACTATGGGCTATTAGACCTTATGGGTACCTTAATCTACCCTTAATAGGGTCCTAATAGGGATCTTTAAGGCCTAATAGCCCATAGTGGTCTGATCGTCCCATGACAGTACGGTCGAGGCCTTCGGATGAAATCCTAGAAAAGCGACGCAAGACGTCCTAGATCGTAACTAAACTCAAGGATCTGTGTTCTTTTGCCGACCCCGCGGATCAAGACTGTGTTTTGCAGTAACGGTTGAGCCCGCAGATACTTGCGAAAAATTACCTTAAGGATCTAAGGACTCATACATTAAGGCTTCTGGGCCCAAAGTCAATACTATATGAGGTTTTGGGGCTGGTTTGATCCCTAGGGTTACCCATCGGGCCAGCCATGACTTTGTCAGCTGAGGACATGGTTGATCTGCAAGGAGAGCCACTTCAAGAAGCTATGCAGCGTTCAGCTCAGAGCATTCCCCCAAATCAGACTCCTGTTTGAGGTCCTTAGTAATAAGTTTCTATCGGAGTTTGGCGTCTATGATAGTAAAATTATGGGGGCTATAAGGGGAAGCTATTGCTGAATATGCACACCCAGTTATTGAAGGTTTAGGGCTTCATATGGCTTCATAGTCCCAATTGCGGCTGCGACGCCTCTAGCCCTGAAACATAAATGCCCAAACTCGCCCTTTCGCAATCTCCCAGTCGCACTGCAATAGTCCGATCACCAGTAGTTATTGCAGAAACAGTATAGTATAGGGCCTTAATAATTACCTGTACTATTTTGGGGGTTCCTTCTTATAATGATAGCATAATGGGCGCCTATAACCCAAAAACCTTTTCTAATTATTACGGCCCCTATAGTAAATAACCGACAAACACTTGTCACTTGTTACAACGGCAGCGCATGAACGTCGTGAACAAGGCGCTGCCAGCAAGCACGTCGCCATCTCCTTTCCTCACAGCGCGGCACTTGAAAGTTTCAGAAAGTGGGGGTCCGAGTGGAAAACCGAAGCATTACAGTGCTTTTGCTTCGGGCTCCGAAACCAAGGAAGAGGAAGGTTCGCAAAATATTCCTCGTGTACATTCCGCTCCCCACCCATACCGCCACCATCGCTTGCCGCTGCCAAGATATATATATATATATATATATATATACATATTATACATATACATCCATACATCCACACATCCGACCGTCAGCCCGTCCATCATCCGTCTGTCCGTGCGTCCAGCCATCCATCCAAACATACGTACACAAAACCGCCCCACACACACACAAACACACAAATACAGACATAACGGACCTACAGATGCAAACATACAAACGCGTATAGACATGCAACGCGCGCACACAAGATTAAGTAACTATACATACATGCAGACGCTCCTGGGGCATTGGGGTAAATGACAACCGCATCTCAAAGAGGCGGTTCTGTACGTTGTGGGGCTATGGGGGATGGAGAAGTCGGAACGACTGACACAGGGGATCATAGGGGCTTAGAACGTACCAAGTGACATCCTGCTAAACGTAACTGGAGTGACATCCTGCTGGGGAACACCAAGGAAGGTCTAGAGTCTAGGGCTTCGGGCATAAACAAACCGGACTAGCATTACATTATCTAGCTCTTGGTAGTTGTCTTCTTGCTTCTTGCCATCGTACAGCACATCTGGGCTTATATTAGATTGCTACTGTCCTGTAGCTGGGAAACAGTTTTGCTTGCTTATAAGGCTTGGGCCCTCGTACTTGTCGGGCATCATGTGGACCTAAAGGTTAACCTTTTTGGGTATATAGGGGTTATATAGGGGCTACACTACCCCAAAAAGGTTAGGGGTAGCCTACTCTACGACCTATAGGTACATATGCCTACATTTTATAGTTAACGGAACTTGGATTTAGCCCGGCTCAGGTTGCAGTTGATGTCAAGGGGGTGGCTTTGGGTCAGCACAACTCGTATGTTCTCTACAAGGCGCGGACGGTTAACCGGTAATTAGGATTAGTTTAGGGTGGCTGTATTGAAAAAACACGTTCATTGTCAGCTACTAGACGATCAAGCTGGGGCGTGAAAAGGTCACAGCCATGCAAAGGCTCCATTCTCCAGCACCAAGGCAACGCGATCGTCACGGCGGAAGAAGGACGCGAAGCTTTGATCCTGTCACCCACCAACCCAATGGCCTCCAAATAACCACATGAACGGAAGAGCTGAGAGTAACAAATACCCCCATGTAACTAGTGAAGGTATAAGCGGCGATCCAAACCACTAGTAGGCCCTACTACTCGGACACACCTCGTCTCTTAGCACTTAGCAAGCTGGACCTCAACGACCAGCAACTGGCGATTCCTAAGGTTTTCGACACTTATCTGCAGACGACACAGATGTTCTTCTTGTTGAGAGCTCTTTTCCGTCGGCAATATGGGCACGGCCTATGATGTGCCTACGGAAGCCTACAGGAGGCGAGCAAATCCGGCCCCCTTACGCACCTACACTTGCAGGAAAGAAGAAGCGAAAGCACCAAGGCGAACTGACAGGGTTTCGCATTTACTTGGAAGTTCATGGGTAGTTATAAGTGGGGTTATAAGTAGGGTAACTATAGTTCTAACCCATATTAGGGGACTTATACCTCCACTTATAGCTACCCATGAACCTCCAAGTAGGGTTCGCTACTCTTTCTCCGACCTGACCTGCCTCTCCTTAGTGGCTTTGGGTGACAAGGTCAAAAGTCGACCGCGTGATCTTGGGACCACTTGATCCCCTTCGGGAACCCGAAAATCCCATGTGCCAGTAGCTCCGAAATCATAAATAACCCCGTAAACGTCATAACCTCTGTTCCCCTAAACCCAAAACATCAAAACCCTGAACCCCAAAGCCCCAAACCTCTTGCATCCAAACCCTCAACCCCAAGACCCTCTACGCTGTTCACACTCAGAAAGTCTCCGAGCAATCCAGCCTCGAGCTGCTGCCGAAGCTCTGCGTACCTGGGCACGGAGAGATATAGGAGTTTCCGAAAACAGGGGACCCTAATATGGCACCCTAACTAGTAGGATCCTTATTACAAGGACCCCAAAATAAGGTACCCCTAGTTTTTTGAAAAGTCCCATATCTGCACGCAAGGTTTAAGGCCAGTTTGTAGGGTTTAGGGTTCTTCCCCTCCTACAGTACTTAGCAAGGATGAGGCCCGCGTTGCAGGGTATGCTCGGCGATTGATTGTGAGCGTTGCGCAGCAAAAGTCAACGAGTCGCTCATAGAAGCAACCTTGTCAGCTTTTACCAGGAATTAGGCTAGCCGGCTAAGTCAGTTGCCCCCACCATGTGCAGAAACCAGCGAATCTCCGGAAGACAGCCTGCAGCCAACTCAACCGTTTAGGGGTTTAGGGTTCAGGGTAGATTCCAGGTTGCTTACGCTACAAAGCACGGGGTTTCGGACAAGGCTTGGAGTATGTTGTGAAAGGATGTGTTGCAACATACAGGGTTTAGGGTTTAGGTTTAGGGTCTTGTCGCAAACCCTAAGCCCTTGCTATACCGAGATACGTCGTAGGCTGAGGGTCCTCTCCATCGCGGCAGATCGCCACATCATTGCCTCAGGAAGTTTGGCAGTTCGAAGGCTCAAAGGGACATAGACGGCAAATGCCCGAAGGACAATAACAAAACCGAAACCTGACCCCTAAAACTCTCAACCAGCAGACAAACAGGCCAACAAAAATCGCAGCGCGCAGCGTAACAACCCCCCCGCCCCCCCAATTTCCTCTGAGGAAAAACAAGCGTTGCTAATGTTGCTGCGGAGTCACCATGTGGCAGCAGCGCCAAAAGGCTCTCAGCCGGTTCCTTACCCCCGAACAGGCCGGCGGGAGGGGCTTGCGAAAGGTTCGTATGGGGTTTCATAGGGTTCCAAGAGTAGTATACTTGCATTCGTGGATTCGCAATATCCGTGTTCTTGCTGGCAATACTTGTCTTGCACGTTTCTAGGACTCCCTTTTTTGCAACAGGCAAACCCTTTTTTGAACCCAGTCTCTGCCGATCAGCTGGGAAGCACTGCAAGACTTCAAATCTGCAGCACAAATGCAGCACAAAGGTGACCTGCTCATCACTACAGGCAAACCCTAAACCCGTAACCCCGAAGCCTAAACTCGGGTTCTTCCATTTCTTAGGCCTCAGCTTCTTGCAAAGGAATGGGAGACAGTTTTGAAGCCATCAAAAACCCAAAGCTTACAGTAAGAAAGCTTCCTGACAATGTGGTTTTGGTGTTTACCACACTAAAATTACGTTATTGCTCAGGGATAGTGTGTTTAACTACTGTAATAGTAACCATTTTACTGCAACAGGCTTGCTCCTTGGCCCGGATGTAACTATAAACCCCAAAGCGCCCTAAACTCTAAACCCTTTTCAGACCCCACTATACTTCCTTAAGCAGGTCTCTGCTGCTTCTAAATCGAGCTGTGGCACATCTTTAAGCCAAAACAATGTCTGGAACCTGCTCTGATCATCGATGCCAGAACACTGCACAAGTATTCCCAGTCAAGCAGGAACTGGAGCTTTTCGGGTTTAAAGCTTGCTAGTGCCACGCTTGGTCAAAGCCAGAACCCACAGTTCTCGCGCTTTAATCTGATGTGAACAGGAAGTTGCGGGCCAAGACTTGGTTTATTGAGCCATCTTCCTTTCAGGAAGAAACGGAAGTCGGACTGCAAGAAAGGACCTGCAAAAATCGTCGGGCTGCTTACACAGCCTACAAGAACCAAATCATGGCTTGCAAGAAAAATGCAGGTTCTGCATAAACTTACCTGGCTAATGTTGTTACTAGGTCGTTATTATGTGCAGTAAGGCCCCCTACCCCTCGCTCCCCTGAACCCTATACCCTTATAGAGCCCCTATAGACCCCTTTAAAAGGGGCACTTAAAGGAACCCTTATAACCACCATGAACCTCCAAGTAAGGTGGATGGCCCTCCCCCTCCCCCCCCCGTATCCCTCAGACCTACGGTTGATGATATAAATCCTGCATGACCTTAAGGACCCTAAACTATGGGAATTATGGTATATTCCTCATTATGGGGGTAATGCAGGATTTATATCCCTAAACCCAAAACTGTAGATCCCTTAAAGGAGCCCCGTAAAAGTACCCTTATAGATCCCTTTAAAGGAACCCTAGGATTTATATCATCAACCCTATGGACCCACTCGCATCAAGGCCACCGGATCCGAGCTGGGATCCAGAAGGTGGCTATTCTCCATCAGAAGATCGGAGGACCTGAAGTTTAAGGCTCTTAGGGGTTCAAAGGTTTAGGGGTTTAGGGTTCAGGAGTTTAGGAGTTGAGGGGTTTAGATCGGAGGACCTGGAACTTTTTTTTTGAGCCCCTCTTTTACCCAGCACTCCGGTCTGGCACAGGACCTGAAGTTGAAGGCGTTTAGGGGTTCAAGGGTTTGGGGTTTAGGGTTCAGGAGTTTAGGAGTTTAGGGGTTTAGGGTTTAGGGGTTTAGGGTTTAGGGGGTTGGGGGTTTAAGGGGTTGGGGGTTTAAGGGGTTCAGGTAGGGGCTTAGGGCTTAGGGTCTAGGGTTTAGGGCATGGCAAAGTGCCGGGGTTTACTCTCGATTTTCTTCCCTCCGTACCTCGTTCTGGGTGAAACCCATGATTTGGATTTTAGGGTAGGGCTTTGAGCTTCGCGATTTCAGGTTTCGAGTCCGGGGTGTTCGAGCGCAAGCCTTAATGTAAGGGCTTCATGGACTACACGGGCCTGATGCGGATGCGGATTCATGTAAGGGTTTCAAGGACTACAAAGGTCTCATAGGGATGTGGTAGGGGTAAATTTGTTTAAGGATTTTTGGGCCAGTGTTTCCAGTTTGGGGGGCTACTTGGAGGTTCATGGGGAGTTTTAAGTGGGATTACAAGTAGGGTAACTATGTTATCATCCATATTAGGGGACGTATAACTCCACCTATAACTACCCATTATCCTCCAAGTAGATCCTATAAACCCTCTACCCTCATAGAATCCCTATAGATCCCTTTTCAGGGGCTCCAAGTACAGGGTGTCGGACTTCTGTTCTGACACTCGGACACTTCAGCTGCAGGGCAAAGCGAGAGTCATGCCCATGGAGCTGGGTTTAGTTTATAGGGCCTGCAGGGCCTATAGGTCTTGTAGGGTTTATAAGGTTTAGGGTGGGCTAAGTTTAAGTTTAAGGTAAGAGGGATTCGGGGCCAGGGTTCGAAGGATTTATGACACGGGCCAGACCGTTTAAAACGACTGCTATAGGGGCCTTAATAATTGGAATAAGGCTTTGGGGCCCATTATACTTTCTTGTTTTTTTCTACGAAATCCCAACATAGCATAGGTAGTTTTTAAAACCCCTGTATATTATTGAATTTACCAGCTGCAGACTTTCGGGACCAATGGAACAACACTCAGCCCACAGCAGTCTCGCTCCCACACCCCACATCCTTTTTCGGAAGGAAACCACGAGACACCCTAAACCCCATCTTAACCCGGAATAACCTACCCTTTAAGGACTACTTGTAGAAGGAAATCACAATAAGGTATCCCAAAAAAGGAAGGTTATTCAGGGTTAAGGTAGTAGCAACCATAAGAAACCTTGCACCCTGAACCCGTGTAGGAACCAAATGAACCCCTTAACCCTTATAGGAACCCATATGAAACCACTGAAGAGGTCAAATCGTGCCGGAATGCTGGCTGTCGCCGCGGGCCGTCTCTGCGATGGTATCATAGCTCTTTGCCTCACCTCCTTAGGAAATCGGATGCTTCGGCGGTGCCTTACTTTCATCCCAGATATTCGGGCTTTCGGGGTTCGGAGCTGTCGGCGCTCCAGTTTTATTAAGGTTTCTAGTCCACGTGAAGGCTAGGAGCAGGGTTTGAGGGGATACCAAACTGCACCGCTCTGTTTACTCCAGGGAATACATTATTTTGCTATCGTCATCCTGCATGCAATTGTATGGTTGTCGCATCGGGGACAGAAAAAACAGACTAGTGTTCGTAGACGGACCAACAAACAAACGCCTTTTTTGCAAAGCTCCATGCATGCCTTTTCAAACCCCTTCTCATGTGCAACTTTTCCCGCAAGCAAACCGCACCCTCTCTAAAGATCCGCGCAGTGAGGGCTACCGTGCACGAGGAACCCGTGGTCACCGTAGAACGGTTGCATGAGCCCCTCCAGCCCCTAGATTTCCGTCGCATTCAAAAGTTGTGGTTCCGATCCCTCAAGAAGTGCCTAGGCAAGCTATCTCCCAAACGAACAACAAGTGCGAATCCACGCAACCCCTGGCCACCCTGAGCCCTAAACCCTAAATCCTAAACCCTAACCTTAGGGAACATGAGGTATTTAAGCGCCGGACCGGACGAGGCCAAGGACGGAAAGAGCCTTCGACTCATGGCTTTTCATAGGTGTGTCTACGATATAATCAGGGCGCCGTGAGGGTTCTATTGGGGTGCTGTCATGATATAGATGATCCTGTTCACGCCTGTAAGAGCACTTAGGAGGACAGGATTTTGGGTACGCCTTGGGGTCTGCTTCGGATTTTCAGCTGACTCAAACGTCCCTCTCACGACTCTCGAAGATGTCTATTGAAAATGTTACGGCTTTAGAGCTGGGTTTAGGGGCTGTCTTGAGTGTTGAAGGTTGAGGGTTGGATTTCGTCAGTCGACTGTGAGAAAAGCCTCCAAAAAGTGTCGACCATCGTGAGGACTAGGAGGGCTTACCACCACTCCCACTCGGACTGCTGCACATTGGGACGCTGAGAGACACCTTGACTGAGAACAGCTTTCGGGCTAACTCCCAAATCCCTAAGTTGAAGTCCTTAAAACCCTTTTGCTGCAGGCTTGCTTGCCTAAGGACCCTAAAACCCTAAACCCGAAAACCCTAAACCCTAAACTCCAAAATCCGCAAATCCTAAAAAACCTAAAACCCTAAACCCGAACACCGTAAACCCTAAACCCCAAAATCCAGGCTCGGTCCGGCCTTTGCAGGAATCCGCTGGGCAGTAGATTCGTCCTTGGATGCTCGCAGGGTTCAGGTTTCATAAAGGCTGTAAACCTTGAGCTCCCTATAAGGGTTTCTTTTTGGGGGTGCCTTTAAAGGGCTTTCTTTTGGGGTTCCTTTCAGTAAATAAGGTTCTTTTAAGGGTTCATGAAGGCTGTAAACCTTCAGCTCCCTATATTTGTTTCTTTTGGGTGGGTTCCTTTAAGTAAGGGTTCTTTTAAGGGTTCAGTAAGGCTGTCAACTGTCAACCTTGAGTTCGCTTTAGAACCAGAAGAGAAAACACATGCTTCTTAATCCCCTTCTTAAGTGTATAACAACTAGACCTAAGAGTAACCTAGGAATTAAACGTGCGCCCTTTTGGTGTAAAAAGGGGCATATAAGGGAACCTAAACCCTAGAAAAGGGAATAAGGGCCTACTCTGGGTCCTATGAATCCCCTTCTTAAGTCTTCGTACAACGAAAACATAATCCCTAAACCCTAAACCTGACTCCTAGGACAGAGAAGCTTCGACTGGCTCAGGTTCAAAATCCTGACCTACTTGCTGGGTTTAGGGTTTAGGGTATCATGGGGAACTAAAGGCTAACGTATTTTGGGTATATAGGGACTATATCGGGATGATATCGGGATTATATAGGGATTATATAGGGTTTTTTTAGGAGTTATATAGGTAGGGATCCCCAAAAAGGTTAAAGGTTACCTTCTCTACTCTACTAGGGGGTTTAGGGTTGTCTGGTAGGGGGCCCCCCCTTGCAAGGACTAAGGGGCCCTTGAAAGTTTAGGGGTTCAGGATTCTTGGGGTTTAGGGGTGTAGCGGTTCAGGGTTTAGGGTTACGACCCTCTGAAGGCTTAGGACATTAGGCTGGAAGCCTGGGCTCCGAACTGTCCTCTGGTGCACCCGAGGAATAGGAAGGGGACCTGGGGTCGTGGTAGACCCGATAACCCCCAAAAAATAGGAGTCTGAATATGAGTAGCCCTCTATAGAATTATACTATATAGGATACCCCACCCCCCCAGATCGGCTTTCTGCAAAAATTTTCAGAACCGTTAAAGTCTTAAAGTAACCCTTGTAGAAATCTCTTGAAGATTATTTGCACAAGGCCCGTGTAGAAAGCTTCGGCTGAAGCATGGATTCCCCAGGGCGAGGCACAAGGCGCCAAAGGTGACCACCGCAAGGAAAGTGATCCAGTACCTGTGGTCTAGGGCTGCAGGTTTATAGTTTATAGGGCTTGGGGTTTTGAGTGGGCTCAGTGCTGTGGGTTTATTCAGCTCAGGGTTTGGATGGGTTTAGGTTTCGGCTGTAAGTAAGGGTTGAAGGTTTCAGTGCTTCGGGGCCACCCACGCCTCAGTAACAAGGTGATATGGGGGGTTATAAATGAGATATTGGGGTTACCCAGAGCTCACGGATCTCCCGCAACAAGCCCAATGTACGTCTTCAGATTATTTGGGCCTAATTACTTTGGACACTGTTCCTTGGTGGGTGTTGTTTTCGGGGCTGTGCGCGACTTGCAACAAACCCTAACTAGACCTTGAATTGTGGTTACTGTTCTTGACTGTGCCTAGGTTGGTTCCTCGTCTAGGAATCCCAGCGATATTGCGCACACCAAACAAGAGGGCCATGTAGCAACAAAAACAGGTAACCCCCAATGTAGACCGCTGGGGTTTACCCTGTGCTAGGCTCCAGGCAGAACGAATACCCGGCAAAATGCAAACACTTCCTCGACTTGCCAGCCTGTGCAGCGAGTTCACAGACCTCAGTGTGTAACGTAACACCCTGAGATCCGAAAAATAAGTAGTTAACCTCCACAAAGCTTACGAACAGCTCGAACCTCTTAACCCCGAATCCCTGAACCGGAAAAGTTTTCAAACCCTGAAAAATTCTGTCAACACCAAAAGATACCAAGTCCACCCAAGACAAAAACACATCGAACGACGACACCATGTTTAGGTTTAGGGTTTAGGGTTTAGGAAACCCTAAACCCTAAACCCTAAAACCCTTTTTGCCAAACCCTAAACCCTAAACCCTAAACCCTAAACCCTAAACCCTAAAACCCTAAACCCTAAACCCTGAACCCGAAACCCTAAGCCCTAAACCCTAAAACCCATTCAAGGCGCCAGAGTTTGCTCGGAGCTGAAGGGTGCACAGCAGTTTGGCCCAATCCCTGCATCATATAAGGGTGTCCATAGGGCTTAATGGGGGGGGGGTGTGAGGCGGTCGAATAGTTATATATATATATATATATATATATATATATATATATGTATGTATTTACATATATATATATGTATATGTATATATTTTTGTCGGGCTTGCGCAATCGTTGTTCTGAGGTTACTGCATCTGTTTATTATGCATGCTGTCCGAGGATGTGGTTTCAGGTGTTAATGCTCTATTGGATTTCTCTAGGGTTTCGGGGGACATATACTGCTTTAGGCTTTGATAGGCCGTCTAATACATATATATATATATATAGATACATACACACTTCGTTATAGGATTCTGATTAAGGCCCTTGGTGTTTTCATTTTCATGGGGCATTTAAAGATTTAGTTCGGTTTCATAGGGTTCGATATCATAGTACAAAGGTTTATCCTATGAGGCATTCTGGAACCCTCATACGAAACAGCATTAGTAGTCATTCGATCCCCTATTCGAGTATCCCATCCACACATATTTATTGCGATACAACCTGCGCAGTACGCTTGCAAGTGCGAGGAGGGTCCCTCTTCATTATCCTGTTCGACGCCCTCACCAAAATAGCCAGTGGCGCAAGCGAAAGCTCTACCGGCTTCGAAACGAAGCCCACATCACTCTGCTCGACGGAGATTCGGGCACTGGACGGAAGCCGGGAGAATTGCTGATGCATTTCCCGGTAGTCTTTTTTGTTGCACGGGCCCGCATCTGTCGGTCAATCCTTCTACAACAGTCTTTTTCATGTTGAGCTCGAAGCTGATCAGAGTACTAACCTCGCTGCCACGTACGAGGATGCCAGCGCCGATGCTAAAATATTGGTAAACGCACAACGCGACCAAACCGCTAAATCCTGGAACCCTTTTTCCACAGGCTTGCCGAGTTCACGCATGGAAGCATCATGCCGTTCTGAGCAAGCAAGACATGTAACGAATACGCAGTTCCTAGCCTTTCATGTTCACCTTGGAAGTGCATTACTGAGCATTCTCATGTTGATGAATTTGCCCTGTTTCAGGGTTCCCCTATGCCTACCTTAAGCCCAAATGACCTACAATTTTAGGGACTTATATAAAGAAATCATATTAGGGGACCCTGAATAGGCAGGTTCCTTAGGGTCCAGGTAACTCCTCAACCCTGAGCTAGACTGCGCCCCGGCCTCAGCCGTGGGATCTGGAGGCTCGGCGCCGAGCCGTTGCAGACGGCTATCCTTCCTCAGCTCGCATGTTGTCTGGGAGCTTGCAGGTTTTGAGGGACTCGCTCGACGCCCCAAAACCGCGTAAGCCAAAATCCCAAACCCCTTGTTTCCCTAACCTCTTAAGCCTTAAACTAAACCCTAAACCCCTGAATCCCTTTTTTTGCATCCGGTCTGCAGCAACTCTACCGGGAAACCCCTAAACCCTAAACCAAACCCTAGGGGCATGAAGACGACCCTCAAAGTGCCACCATTGCAGTAACGTGGACCCCTGATTAGTCAAGCCTTCTTGGAGTTTCCGAAAATTTAGGGGTACCTTCTTTTGGGGTCCTTTTTGTATAAGGATCGTACTAATATTTATGCTATATTCCCACTCCCTCTATCTCTGTCTCTCTCTCTTTGCATCCAGAGCACCTAGCAGCGACAAGCAACGTGTGAGGCTAAGGCCCTATATTAGGGTCCTCTATTTTCGGAAACTCCCTCCTGGCCTCACAGGGATCACCATATTGATCCCACTACCACGGCGCTTACCAAACCCTGTCCTCGAAAATACTGAAGGGGGCCTTAATATGCCTTAATAGTTAGAATCGGGTTTTGGGGGCCATTGTAATTGAAACAGGGAACCCCCCACAAGAGTGTAAATACCCATTAAGCCCCCTCCCCTACATTAACATCTTCTAGCCGTGGTGGGACGTCGTTGCAGTCAGCACTCTGGAGGATGCTGGCAGCCTCCGCAAGCGGCTCGGGGGGGGAGGCGTTCAGGGGCTAAGATTTTGTGTTCCCATGGCCTTTATGTGAGAGTTTCTGGCTTTTAGGGGCTTTAAAGGGTTACCATAAGGGTATTATAGGGGTTCCTTTATCGGGGGGGGAGGCGTTCAGGGGCCGATTCCCAAGGCCTTTATATGAGAGTTTCTGAAAAGCCTTAGGGTGCCTTTAAAGGGTAACTATAAGGGTACTATAGGCGTTCCTTCGAAAGGTTACTATAAGGATTTTAGAGTTTCTGAAAATTAGGGGTACCTTATTTCGGGGTCGTTGTAGTAAGGATCCTATTATTGAGGGCACTATATTAGGGTCTTTTAGTCGGCGCTCACACTCGGACAATCCAAGCGAGGCATGTGGGTAGTTGTCAAAATTAGGGTCCCTGTTTGGGTTCCTAATATAATACGGCACCTAATATTTAGGGTACCCAAAAAAGGGACACTAATTTTGACAGCCACCCATATAGTTCCTTTAGGCTTTACGGTTAAATGGTTTAGGGTTTGGGCTTGTGTAGGGTCTACGTAGGGTGCATAAACCCCAAGGCCCGTGACACTCGAAATCACTTGACGCCCAAAATCCCACACAACGGCAGAAACCTTGCAACCCTGAACTCCAGCTTGGCCCGAGAAAGTTTAGTGCCGACCGGGATTCCTTCTCGACAGGCAGGGTTGACTACTACATAAAGAAGCCCCAGAGTTAACAATGAAAGATCTTCGGGTCGCTAGAAACCCTAAACCCCAAAAGCCCTACGGAAAGTTTTCGCCTGCGCTTCAGCAGCGGCGCGGCAAAACTCATCGTGGCAAAGCTGGCAATGGCCCAAGGATGGAAGGAGAAAGGCGCTCAGAAGCGCATACCTTGCTCAGGGTCCTTTTCGAAGCATATGAACCCCCAAGATCGATTCTATGGTTCAAGGCCCATAGTATAAGGAGTATAGAGTCTAGTATAGAACAGCAGAAAGCGTCATACTTCTTAAGGATCAGTTGGTGCTTCAGGATTTCAAGATTTCGGGCTGAAGGGCTTGTATAGGGGTTTCTGCGCACGCTGTGCGGACTTCTAGTTCATTGTCGGAATAGGATGAAAAATGTACGGGGTTTAGGTGTTGTCCCCCTTGTCCCCTTACCATCGCTAGGATTTTGGTTTCGGGTGTAGGTGGCCATGGTCCAAACCCTAGCCCTTATCCATGTTCAACAGGGCTCTCCTAGAACTATATACAGCCTCCAAACTCAGAGAGACAGGTAATTGCCAGTCGAGCCTTGAGGTGGTGGGTTGTAAGAATAGCTCGGAAACTTGGACTTCCAAGATACATACATATATAAATATACATATATATATATACATACACAGGCTTCCTCAAAGATACACGAGCTTCCTCTTCGAGAGCATATAAACATTGATCCGATCTTGGGTCTAAAAAATTGCGAGCAATCTGGGAGTTTCCGAAAAATATGGGACCCAAGTATAGTACCCCAAATAGTAGGATCCTTACTATAAGGCCCCCCCTAATTTTCGGAAACTCCCATCTGATTCAGGCTTCTACGGCGTTTTCACAGGGTAGCCAGAGGCTCCATAGTAGTTCCTTTTTGGGGATTACCTTATAGGATTCTAAATATGAGCCCCAAAAAGGAACCACTATGGAGCCTTAGGGTAGCAGCATGGGTTTACGGTTGACGCTCTGCTTTTTTGGTTTTGGGGCGCTTGGTTGTCGTCAGGTATGAGCTCACGAATAACTGCGACGCTGCGACTACTATGAGGCGGCTTAAGAATTGGACTAGGGTCTCATGCACAGTATAGTATATAATATGCATGACCAATCAAGGACAGAATCCTAGAAACAAACATGCGTGAGTCTTCAGGCCCTCCATTAGTTTGAGGAACCCTGAAGCTTATGTGCTATTCCAAGAGGCAGAGGTGCCATTGCAGGCGGAAACGGTATCAAACGGGTAAGGGAAGAGGAACTGAGGCCTTTCGAACGGCCTTTCGTTGAACAAGGCGGCGGCGAACAGCTCTGAAGACCGACTCTGCACTGCCCTTCCCACTCAGCTCCTGCTATAGGGGCCTTAAAACTTGAATAGGGTTTGGGGGGTGTAGTACACTATATTACTCCTGCTGCTTGCCCCACCTGTTACCGGAGATTACGACGACGACAACCAGGGCAGTTACGAACCTTATAGCGACTAAGCCATGTACTTCGGGTCAAGATCACTGCAAAATAGTTACGACTTTATCTAAAGGAAGAGTAATTCTCAAGACCTTTGCACCTAAGCCAGCATGGGGTCTTGAGACAGTCAGCACCATAAAGGGTAAACTCAAAGAGACCAATGCCCCTTCAAGGGCTACTACATTGTCATGTACTGAGTATACTCTTAACTTTTGCTTCTTACTCGACTCGCCACTACAAACAAAACTATGCGCAGACTCACCAATAGAAGCCCAATGCATGTGTACATACCTATGCACATACCTATGCACATCTGTATGTGTATGTATATATATATATATATGTTTGTTATTGCTGTATTTACACACCTATATGTGTGTGCATGATTCTACTTAACAACGAAATGCTCACATAAACCATACGCCGTATACCTTCATGATCCTGCATGCATGTTACGAATGCCCGTCTGTACCTCTCGAAAGGATGGAGAACAAATCACGCAATGCCGTTACAAGAGTACTGGGGTCTCCGATGGTCTCTGGGCAGTTCCAAGACCCTGAGCCCTCTTCCAAGGTTCTTGCCAGGATTTAAGCTCCCAACCTTCACAGGAATCTATAGCCCAAAGGGTCCAAGTATCATTATAGTATATACTTATAGGGCACTTGGGGGTCTAAGTATATACCATAATAATACTTAGACCCTTTGCATAGTAAATAACAATCTTTTTCACTCAATACAGGAACATTATGTACTTGACTTCAACTCCTTCACAAGAAGCCTGCTTTTGTTCCTCGCCAGGTCCACGCCTCCGACTCGGAGCACTTTTGCAGGCGGTCCTGGTCGGGAGTTGCGCATTGAGAGCTCCAATACCAGAAATCAGGATGCATCTAGGGTGTGGTCTAGGTTCAGGGCTTAGGGCAGTACAGGGCTTTAATAACCTCAGGCTTCGGCTTGGTGGATGCAGCTGGCGGGTTTGGGGTTTTAGTATTGAGGCTTGGGGCTTGCCTTTCTTCATAATTAAAAGCACTGAACCCTTTGTCCTTCAACCCTTGAATTAAGGGTATACAAGTAAGTCTCGGGAGCATGTGCGCATTCTCACACTGAGCCCGAACTGTATAATCCTTTGCTTGCGCAGGGCAGTATACCGTAGCGAACATGAAATGTGATTTCTAAAACCTAAAGGTCGGGTATCATGGGGAACTAAAGGTTAACCTTTTGGGTATATAGGGTTTCTATAGGGGCTATACTAATTACCCCACAAAGGTTAAAGGTTACCTACTCTCCTACAACCCTAAACTCTAAACCCCTAAACCCTAAACCCGCAAAATCCTAATCCCTAAACTCTAATCCCTAAACCCTTTTGAAACCGGACTTGATGACTGCCAGCACTTCCTCCTTTGCCGGTCCCTAAACCCTAATCCCTAAACCCCAAACCCTAATCCCTAAACCCCAAACCCCTAAACCCCAAACCCCTAATGCCCAAATCCTGAAACCCTAACCCCTAGACCCCTAAAAGAAAACCCGAGAACTCTTGGGTCTCCGGCCGCCGGACTCGTTTCTGGAGGATGCCAACACCGTCGCCGCAGGCCACGACGACGAGGTAAGCGAAGTACGGCGCCTTTAAACCCCATAGGGATCTAAGGACTCATGTAGGGTTCCGTTAAAGGGATCTATAAGGGGCCCTTTAAAGGGATCTATAAGGGGTCCTTTAAAGGGATCTATAGGGTTTAGGGATCTAGGGACTCATATCTTAAGGCTTCTGGGCCCAAAGAACATACCATATAAGGCTTGTGGGCTACTTTGATCCCTATACAGAAAGATTCCAGCTTTTTTTTTGATATTCCAGCTTTTGGGGTTCAGGGTTTGGAGGCCTTATAGGGTTCAGTTAGGGTTTGGAGTTTAGGGTTTGGCGGGTATATAGGGTTCAGTTAAGGTTTAGAGTCTAAACCTTAACTGAACCCTATATACCCGCCAAACCCTAGTTTAGAGTTTGGGGTTTGCCGGGATCAAAGAGCTCATGGGGTCCATTCGCAGTGTTTTGGGGGTCTAGCTGTGCTTACAGGCGCAGGTTTTAGTTTTGGTTCTTTTGCATCCAGGCCGAATCTTTGAACACTCTGTCCCAACACCCTGCAATTCTAATGCGGGACCCTTCATACCCGAGCTCATGTCAGAAAGGGAAGTCCAAACCCTCAAACCTAAACGCTGCGCACCCAAAACCAACAAAACCCCTCATAGAGCCCAAATTAAGGATTGGTACAGGGGCCCTCAAAAGAATCCTTACAGGAACCCTTACAAGCACCCTCAAACTGCACTCTGAAGTAACCAGCGAGAAAAAGTATAGACTTTTATTTCATATAATGATTCCTCTAAGGAACAGGTACCAAAAAAGAGTATTCAAGTATGGTACTCCAAACCCAGGTAAAGCAACCCTTAGATTCCTCAGAAGCCCCCAGCGACCACGTCGCGAGAGCCGAGGCGCGCGGCCGACCGGACCCTCCCCGCCGCGTGCGACGTTGCGGCAGCCCGGCCGTTCCTCGGATGAAGGGGTTTAGGGTTCAGGGTCATTTTAGGGTTCACAGGGTTTGGGGTATTTGGAGAAGGAGGTTAAAAATAGGGTTTAGGGTAGTTTGTGTAGTTTTCGGGTTTAGGGTGCTTTTTCAGGTTAGGGTTTAGGGCTTGTTTGTGTTTAGGGTTTACACTCTCGCAACTCGGACAAGGCAGCGAGTCTTGGTTTGGGGTTTAGGCTTGAGGACTTAGGGCTGAGGAGTCGGGACTTGAGCGCTTGGGGTTTAGGGTGTCTCGCCGCACAGCGAATTCTGCCTACCGCTGTATCACTGCAACCTCCGCAATCTTACCGCGAGTGGTCTGTACTCGGGCAACTCTTGGTAAGGAGCCCACGTGATGACCGAGATTGCAGAGTAGTTTGGATCAGTAGCAGCATCGAGGGTTGCGCTGTCTGGAACATCACCGACCCATACTAATTACGCGTCCGCTTGCTCCAGGGTTGCGACCAACTCTCCAAGCCAGACATGCACGTTGCAGTGCAGCATGCAGCCGACTATGCACCTCCAGCCACTCCGGTCTCGTCCTGCGTTTTGAAACTGCGCACTTGCTGGGATCCTGCTGGGGGCCCGGTCAGCACCGGCAGGATCTACGGCTAGGATCAAAAAAAGCATGTGTTCGAAGCCATTCCAGTCTCGGGGCCACGCAGCAGAGGCGGTTCCAGTGCGATTGATCTCGCAGAGGTTCATGGGTAGTTAGAAATGGGGCTATAAAATCCCTAATTTGGATTATAACTATAGTTACCCGACCTATAACCCTACTTACAACTACCCATGAACCTTCAAGCAGGCATGGTGTACTGATCAGGGTTCATTCCCAATTGGCACTGGAGCCGGATGGGTTCTGGCTCTAGGCTCTAGGCATCCTCGACAAGAGTGGGTACGGCCTTAGCAGGCCGGGGTGGGCGTTAAAGATTTGGGGCATAGGGGTAAGATGGCATCAAACGCAAGGCTTGACAAACAAGTTCCCCAACGGGCTTTAAGTACCTATAGTTCGATTACGAGTATGGTGTGAACAAGTATCATCCCCCATATCGGTACTTAGGACTTTTTGGGTTCTGAATCCAGGAACTTACTAAGCCCACATCGCTGGCACGGGACTTGAACTCAGAAGTCGTGCAACCTGAATCTGAACATCTTAAGCAGCCCTGTCGCATTCCTTAAGCCTGCTGGCGCAAGCCCTTCCACCCCGCACCCGAAAACTCCGGAAACCCCTAGTACGTCAAACCCAATTTGTCAAAACTACAAACAGCCACCGGAAGAAAAGTCCCTGCACGCCTATACTCTAGACTCTAGACCCTACTTACCCTTTTTACAACCCCTACTTACCCTAAACCCTAAACCTTCAACCCTAAACCTTAGAAGCTGCCCCCACCCTGTAATAGTGACCATAAGGATTATATAGGATTATATTAGGGCCCTATTAAAATCCTATTATACCACTATTACAGGGTGGGGGCAGCTTCTAACCTAAACCCTACTTGACAAAAGCAAGCGAGATGCCTGGAACTCAGAGATCAGAGCCTCAGAGCAGCCCAGTACTGGATACTCCCCCGGTACTGAGACACGGAAAGCTGTTCACTTTGTTGACCTTCACAAACATTAATAATAATAATAGTAACAATAATAATAAGAATAATAATAATAATAATATAATATATAAAGTATATTGATGTGAATAATTTTAACCTCATTCAGTAACATAGGGTTTGTTGTTGTTGTTGTTGCTGTTGGTGTTGTTGTTGCTGTTGTTGCTGTTGCGTCTGCTGCCGCGCGGGGTGGTGCGACTCCTTTGCTGGCATGTGCTGAAACTCGAGTTTTGGCACTGTCTTCGCCCGACATTGATCTTTGCTGTTGCTTTCGCATCGGCTTTTACTGTGTTTTCTAGCAAAAAAGTGACCCAGCCGGCGGGCTGCACTGTGCAAAAACATGTTCAGCTCTGTATTTCGCCTCGTTGTTTTCGATGTTTTCCCCCGTGTGTGTGTGTGTGTGTGTGTGTGTGTGTGTGTGTGTGTGTGTGTGTGTGTGTGTGTGTGTGTGTGCATGCGTGCATGCGTGCGTGCGTGCGTGCGTGCGTGCGTGCGTGCGTCGCATTTCGCATCGGTTTTTGCAGTGCTTTTTTTGCAGACTCTCGACTTTTTGCACATTCCGGCTTCGACTTGCATTCGTCTTTCAGCTCTGTCCGGGGCTTTGTTGTTGTTGTTGTTCTAGGAAGTCGGGATTTGGGGTTTGGGAGGTTGAAACTTTAGAAACTGAGCCCTCGATTCTTTAATAGCTGTGGACCAGAATCGACGTAGAATTGCACCTGATTTTTTGCGGGGAGTACGGGGTCTCGAAATACAACCTACGGGGTCTCGAAATAGAACCTCAACCCTAAACAAATCTCCCATCAAGGAGCCCATAAAATGTCCCATAGAAACGTTGTTGGCATGGAAGTTATTTGCAAGACTGAAGAAACCGACCCTCAAGAACCCTGAAACCCAAGAATGCTAAAGTGCTGTTTAGCCTAGGCCCTAGGCCTACTTGTCGGGTTCATGGAAAACTATTATATAGGGACTAAAGGTTAAAGGTTACCTACTCTACTACTCGGTAGGCCCTAAGCTCCACCTGCTGCACAAGATCCTGCATTGCAGAGTCGTAGGTTTTATAGGTCACAAACCTTAAAACAGTAGCTCCTTAAAGCCCTGATAGAACACCGAATCCTTACGGGAAGCCTCAGAAAAAACCCTAGAACCCAAAAGCCCTCTAAGCCCCGCAAAACCCAACACCCTAAACCCCAGACCCTAAACCCAAATCCTAAACCCCTTTTCCACCTGGACTACGCATATTCCAGGAACCGAGGCGCCGAATCCTGAACCCGTAAACCCTATAAACCTCTAAACCCCAAACCCCTATAAACTTTATAAACCCCAAAACCCTACAAATCCCAAGACCCAAGACCCAGAAAAGACCCTAAATCCTTCGGCGGCGGAGGAGCTGCTTCCAGCATCTGCACGAGCCCAGGCTCCTTTTAAGCAGGTTTAAGGGGGTTTATTTAGGGAGCTAATCTAAGGGGTTTAGGGGTTCAGGGTTTAGGGGTTTAGGGGTGCAGGGTTTAGGGGGCTCCTCCCCAAGGCTGCTTTGGGGGTTCTCTACCGGATCTACATTAAGGGTCCTGCCTGGTTTTTGCGTTTGGTGTTCTTTGACCCCAACAGCCTTGGAAATGGGGCGACGAGTTGGAAGAAGGACTCGGCAGGCTGCTCGGTGATTGCTGATTCTACCGACATAGTCTTATTGGGCTGAGTACCTAGCCCAAAAAAGGTTAGCCTTTTCAGTCACGGTAGAATTATAGAAACTTTTCGTTAAAGGTCACCTATTCAACTACTGGGTACTCGAATATGCGGGCTTGGCGTGTAGGCACTAGATCCTTCGGGTTCAGGCCTGGGGTACCTCCACAAACCCGGAGAGAGAAAGCTTGATGATTATAGCACGGAGCCCAAAGGTATAACACAGGTAGTGGGTGAGGCTTCTGGATTCTAGATTATATAAGTCTGCTCCTCCACTTCGTGTGGATGGACTGAACCATGGAAGCACTGGAAATAACACACACTCACCCAACAAAATAAGCCCCCGCTTCTTCAAACTACCGAATTGCGCCTCAGTAACATGGAGGAGATGCATCTGCTGGTAGCCCTCGCGGTCGTAGGCACGAAAGCCTCAGCCGCTTAGGTAGCACTTCACTTCTAAATGTCTGCCTAACCTTGCAAGGGGTTCGGACGTTCCAAGGTTCGTTCTGTAGCTGAAAGGCTTTACGAGTACGAAAAACGCTTAAACCGCAAAAACACTACCACACCACTACCAACAACAAGAAGATCCCTCGATGATTTAAGGTATTCCCCAGCAAGAAGCCAAAGAAACCTCGCAATATCGTCCAATGCCACCAAATCCTGCTAGAGCCCACGGTTTGTCAATTGCTGCAAGGCGCTTCTACCCCCATGGGACCGCAGTAACACCCAAACGCAACCCATGATTCATCCAACAATTCCTTAACTGCCATAAGACCCTTGGACCGGAACAAAGAACAGAACGTCAATAACCCAGTTGGCTTCAATTGAGGAACACCCAGACAAACCCTAAATGCACCCTCACCCCCCCCCCCTATTTGCCCACGACCCTACACTCTCTGCGACACGATGCTGTTCAAGGGCAGGGGTATGTACATACGTACATATATACACACACATATATATATATATACATATATATATATATACAACTATATATGTGCATATGCGAACATATACACAAATTCATACATATATACACATCTGCAGAATCCACAACCATCCTAAATCCAAAAAACCGTTCAGGGGTAGGTCGAGATGGGTTTAATGGGTTTGGAATAACATCCCCCAGAAGTACCCATGCAATTGAAGGGGTGCCACGGATTCTGCCAGATAGATGCGTCCGGCAGTTGCAAAGCTCAAAACCCTCCTCCAATAAGCCATGTTGAGGATATCGGAATGATTCCAGGAACATTGCAGAATTTAAAGCTCTCTCGCTAATTATGTGCGTGCTGCTTGCAACTGAAAGGCGCAGAAGGGGAGTGCATGTGATGCCTATCTTGAAGACCACGGGGGACATGGAGTCCAAGATCTGCTTGACCACATCCTTTGCCTGAGAGCAGCCTACTACATTAAAGGGCCCTCGGGGGATCCTGGTAGATTTTTAAGGATTTCTGGAACCCTCATAGAACCCTGGAGATCCCTTTCAGGGAACCCTTTTAGTAACCCTTTCAGAACCCTATAGATCCCAAGCTCACGCCTGAACTTTGAGGTCACCTTCTATACACAGGTTTGGGACAGCAAGGGCAGCATGCAGCAGAACGGGACAGCGAGACAAAGCACACGAAAACCTCTTCTTATTGAAGTGCCCATTTAAAGCCCACTTCAAGCCTCTCTTAAGCCCCCATGAAGCTCCCCCGCAAGCCTTTAGAGATTGTAGTGTTTTTCGGAGCATGAAGTCTCGGCTTTCGGAGAGAGCTTTTGGGTTTAGGAATCGCTGTTTCCTCGGTCCCATGGATCCTTGCAAAGCCTTTGTTAATCTAGGAGTGGGACAGTTCGTGCTGTTATTCCGCGGCAGGTTCCCCAATAAGCCCAAGTCCAAGTTTTGAGGGTTTCTATGTTGGACCGGAGGTCGCGCTATGTTTTTTTGAGTAGGTTCAACCCAGAACCCCAGCTTCGTGCTTCTCGCTTGGCAATGTTCGACTCTGGGACTGTGTCCATCGGGCGCTTACGAAGCGTAGCAAATTGAAACGGCAAGGCTTCTTCACTTATGCCCAGACCTTCCAAAATCCCTTAATTAAGGAATATACCTTAAATTATAATAGGATCCCTAATATGATTTAAGGTATATTCCTTAGTTAAGGGATTTTGGAAGGTCTGGACGAGAGCATCCGCACAACGCTTCAGACAGCCCTATCCAGCCACTCTCCTCTTGCTATAACCCAAACCCCCGCGACCCTAAACTAAACCCCAAACCCCCAACCCCTAAACCCCAAACCCCCCTAAACCCTGACCCCTAAACCCCCCAACCCTGAACCCGATACCCCAAACCCTATACCCTTATAGACTTATAGAATCCCTATAAACCCCTTTAAAGGGACCCTTAAAGGAAACCCCCAAACTCGGATTGAAAGGCACCCTAAACTGGGTTCTTGTTAAGGGATTAAGTTCAAATTTACCATAATAAGGAAACCATATTATTTACCGTATCAGACCCCTATTATGGTAATTTGGACTAAAGTCCTTATCACACGAGTTCTGAGGCACACGCACCGGCGAGAGCAGTGCGGCAAAACTAAAGTCCTTAACAAGAACCCATGCGAGGAATGGGGTATATATTTTTACTACTATTACTACCAGTCTTCCATTCCCTACTAACCAAAGGTAAGACTACCCCTATAGATCCCATTATAAGGAACCCCTATAGATCCCTTTAAGGAACCCTATAGATCCCTTTAAGGAACCATTCCCTACTAACCAAAGGTAAGTTGAAAGGCACAGCTCTTGCCTAAAGTCCTTAAGGTATTGTATTGTATATTCCTAAACCCCTAAAACTGCCGGTGCGGCGCCTAAACCCTAAAACTGCCGGTACTGCACCTAAACCCTAGCCCTAAACCCTAAAACTAACCAACTACCCCTATAGATCCCATTATAAGGAACCCCTATAGATCCTTAAGGAACCCTTCCTAAACCCCCAAACTCGGATTGAAAGGCACAGCTCTTGCTTCTCCACGGGCCGATGGGGATCTCCCCCGCGGTTCGCTAAGCTACGGGGCTCCCGGCAATCAAAGGGGGACAAGGAGGGACCCTTATTTTTTTTTTTGAACTGCCCTTTTCCTCCTTAATGGGGTTTAGGGTTTAGGGTTTGGGGGTTTTAGGGTTTGGGTTTTTTTGTTTTACAGGTTTGGGGGTTTTAGGGTTTAGGGTTTAGGGTTTGGGGTTTGGGGGTTTTAGGGTTTTAGGGTTTAGGGGTTTAGGGCACCCTAGAATGGGCTATATAATGGGTATGTAATGGCTATATTAAGGGTATATGCCTAGGTGTCCTTGTTAAGGGTCCCTCCTTTTACGGTTGGAGGCAAAGAACTTCCCAAAAGACTCCAAACCCCAGGGTTTAGGGTTTAGGTTTAAGGGAAAACGTATAAGTACATGAAAATGTAACGAGTGCATACATACATACATATATATATATATAGATGTACATAGATAGATAGATACATATCGACCGAGCATATGACAGTATATTGTAGCAGATTAACGTAAAGAAACAAAGAAACATCAGACTAGGGAGTCGTAACAAAGTCGAGAAGCCCTAGCCTGAAGTGTAGACCTCTCTCTCTCTCTCTCTCTGTCTCTGTCTCTCTGTCGTGCCATCACCGAGAGTCTTGCAATGCAGGGGCACGAAATCGAAGGCTGGAATATCAGGAGGCATAGCTCTACACTAGAAAATTAGTACCAAGTCAAGAAGCTCTAGATTTGAGAGTCATGTTGCGGAAGGGCTCTTGGAAACACTCCATATGACTGTTGTTGAAGAAACTCTACCTTACAGAGCTGAGTTATGACAGTGACAAGGAAGGGTCCTTCAGATGAAACAGTGTTATCTACAATGCTTTACTATAATATACTGTAACGATATGTATATCCATATATATGTATGTACATATATGTATATATATATATATATGCCTCATATATATATATATATATATATGCTTACACACTATAGATCCTTATTATGATTCAAAAAAACCTCCGGTGACTTTGAGGGGCGTGTTGGAGTCTCCGGCCCTAGGTCAGCGAGAAGTCAGTAGGCGTTCGTGAAGGGCTGGTCTTGGAGCTCCACTTCCTTGGGTTTAGGGTTGTTTGGGTTCCTTTAAGGGTCCCATTAAAGGGATCTATAAAGACTCTATAAGTCCAACAGGGTAATGGGTTTAGGGTTCAGGGATGTTCAGGGCTTAGGGATTATGGGGTCTCAATGCTTAGGGTTTCCGGGTTTAGGGCTCCACTTCCTGGAGGCTGCGTGGCGGGTTTAGGGCTTAGGGATTACACGGTGTAAGCTTTCAGCACTCACACTCGGACAAGCCTAGGCGAGGTTCTCAAGTGTAAGCTTTAGGGTTTCGGGGTTTGGGGTTGGTTGAAACCCAAAAGCCTGGTTCAGGGCCTGCCGGGGTTTGCAAAAGACGGAAAACAAACATGCGTTTCTAGTTCATTGTTGGGATAGGATTAAAAATGTACATTTTTATTCCTTATTGGGTTTCAGAACCCATAAAAATGTAAAATGTTACCCAACAGTGATAAAGGTTTATTGCGTTCAGCAAAGGGCTCTCACTGCAGGCTGAAGCTGCACCGACAAATCTGGATGGCAATGAGTTTCCGAGTGCGTATAATAAGTATAGGGTTCAGAGGTCTGGACTCCAAACTCAATTTCATGTAGAGAGCTTAGGAGTCTGGATAGAAATTCGACACTCCAACCTGCTACTACGAGCCTTCTTGTAACAGTGGCTCAGACTTGTTCATGCTACAAGCAGCAAGACCTCCCAATCAAACAGGGACCCTGGCTCCAGACCCGATCCATGAGCCTCAATCGCTCCTCCAGGGTTTCAGGCTAGGATACCCAGTAGCCTAACAATAAAAAGGCCTCTCTTTTTGGTATTGGGTAACTTTATAAGGAACCTAGGACTGCAAAAAGGGAATAAGGGTACTACTGGGCATCCTAGCAGGTCTTCACTATTGTACACCACAGCTTCTCCAGGTGCGCAAGCCATTTAGATATGGGACTTTGAGTACCCCGGAAAGGTAAAAGGTTGCCTATCTACTACCAGGTAAACAATAAAGGAGCCAAACAAGGGAACTGCGATGGCAGAGCCCGAATGTCCGGCAAGCCCCTTCCACACCCAAGAAACCCTTCACCCAAAAGCCTTGGAGTGTTTGAGATTTTAGGCTTGAATGTTCTTTCCCGCCTACTGAAAGGCTTAAGGTTTTAGGGTTTGTAGACGGTTTCTCTAAATCGTCGCAGGTTGGGGGTTGATAGACGGTTTCTCTAAATCGTAGCACGCCAGGGCACGCTTGGCCTTGCCTGGCGAGCATCTCGCGATTCGCGGCGGTTTCGCAGATACAGACCGCCAAAAGCCCCCAGGAGGAGGATCCCTGTTGCAATCGCAGCCATCACCTCCCATCATGAACTTATTATGATTTCCTTATACAAGTCCTTAGAAAGGTAGGCTTTTCCGGGTTAAGGTATGTCATACTTTGGCAAATTTTCCGTTGTATTGTCATGGTTCCCAGTCTAGTATGTTGGGTTCATGTAAGGATTCACGGGTCTCGCGAACGGGCGGCCCTAATAAGTAAAATCATACGAACAGTGTTTTGCACATGCAAAAATCAAGTATGGGCTTAGGGCTTATAGGGTTTAGGTGTTTTTTTTTAACGCCCCTTTTTTCCCTACTGCTGGGTTTAGGGGTTTAGGGTTTAAGCTGTTGGGTCTGGGAGCCCTAAGGAATAGCACGGGACTTGTATTCAACAGCGCTTGACGGCCCAAGGCTTTGCTATTGCAGTGGTTGACCTGGAGACTGAGCCAATACTTCCATCAACTACGATGCCGTTTAGGGATTAGGGGTTTAGGGTTTAGGGTCTACTTTGTTGTAGGATCCCAATAAATGATACATTTTAGAAGCTGCCCCCACCCTGTAATAGTGACCATAAGGATTACATTAATAATATATTAGGGCCCTATTATATTCCTATTCTACCACTATTACAGGGTGGGGGCAGCTTCTAAACGATGCCCTACTTTGTTGTAGGATCCCAATCAATGATACATTAGGATGTATCACAAGGGCTTGCAACATAGTAGGTTAAGTTACTTGCGCATGTGGAACAGTAGGTAGGTTCGCCTAGGGCCAAGGGTTTCGGGATTAGGGCATTGTACGGTTCAGGGTATACTTAGGGGGCGCCACCCATCAGCTTCCTACGAGAAATTTCGCTTACCTGGCACCCCTCCAAACAAAGCCGTCAAAACCTCAAACACCTCCATCATCGTCCCGGAAAGTATTCTGTAAATTCCTTGCAGACACCCCTAAATTAATTAACTTAGAAACATCCATGCGCCTCCCAAACAGGCTTCCAGTCTTCCCCGGCGGTGACAACCGCCTCACCATTGAGGTAGGCCCTCATGTCGTTGAGAACCAGTTGGACGAAGATCCTGGCATTCAGGCCCCGTACCCTAAATCCGCTTGAAACCTAAATCCGCGAGAGGCCTTCTAGAAGAACGGTCTTGCAAACAAGAAGGGCTGGCGGCTACACAAAAGACCACCGAAAAGAAGAAAATCTAGTGCTCAGAAAGCCAACGCAACATCAGGGCTTTGTCCGCAAAGACTGGGCTGTGCGCTACGATGCGCACGTCACCAAGCTCAGACCTTCTTAGCAGCACTCGAGCCGTGTAAACATCGCCCATTTCGGTGTTCTTCATCTGGCTATAAGCCCGTGTAAAGGCCGTGTCTGTCCATTCATTCTCCTGGGATAAAGCTGTAGCCCGAAACCCTTTTCACACCCGGGCTACGCATATGCCCCTAATGCCTACGTCCTAAACAAGCCCCTAAACCCTAAAGCTAGAGTAAGCAACTTTGAACCTGTTTGGGGTACTACAATCGCCACATAATCCCAAAGATTGTCTTGTAATTCCCCTAGGATACTGGACAAGAAGCTTTGGTACTGCATGCCAGAGAAACGAATAGGGAAAACAACAACGACACAGACACATATAGACATCTTTTTTTGAAACAACACCTTTCACAACATCTAGCAAAACACAGTCACGAGCAGCAGTAAAACCAACAAGCACACAATGCACATTCGCAGACACACTTTGCAGGTTGCTCGGCATGACATTGTGCTCCATGCTGCTAAAGCTTTTGTTATGACTGTTATGAGGGTATGCACACTGTGGTGCTGACCTGTGCATATACTCGGACCAGGAACAGCATGTGAGGATACGCCACGGGATGATGCGTAGGAAAAGAGTACTTGGAGGTTCATGGGTAGTTATAAATGGAGTTAGAAGTCTGCTAAGATGGGTTGTAAGTATGGTTCTCCTACTTATACCCGCAGTTATAACTACCCATGAACCTCCAAGTATACCCTAAACCCTATACCCTTATAGAATCCCCATAGATCCCTTCAAAAGGGACCCTTGAAAGAACCCTTATAACTACCCATGAACCTCCTAAGCTGGATGGCCCTGACAAGACCCGAGGGATGGATTCGCACGGCAATGTCAGGGACGAACACAGATGGGGGGTTTCCGAGAACAGGGGAATCTCATAGGGCTCCTTGGTGAGATAGCACAACCGGGCTAATGCCTTCCAACCATGCGCATGCTGATCGCAAGCTTCGACAACTGATGTATCTCACATGCAAACGTCTTGCAGGCATGGACTTGAACACATCGTTGCAAGCACTCGTCACACATGATCACAAACGGCCTTGAAGCTTAACATATACATTTCCGGGCCCAAAAAATCTCTCTGATGACCAAGCGAGACGGGCGAATTTGATCCTAGTGTCAGCTCCCGACCCTATGATCCCATAACTTTCCAGCTCCAAAAAAACATAAGCATGACTTTTGCGACCCCGGCCGATGTTAACTACCATCTTCCATTTTCCCGGGCCGATCTTGATCTCCGGTCACCGGAGGGGATGCGTGAACAAGTTGCCCAGGGATACCGTTCACACCACCCTTCCCGCCACACCCTTGGGAGTGGAACTATCAAAAGGGTTACTATAAGGGTTCCTATAAAGGGCTCTATAAGGTTCAAAGTTTCCGAAAACAGGGGATCCTAATTTAGTACCCTAGCTAGTGAGATCCTTACTATCAGGTAACCCCCTAAATTTCGTAAACTCCCAGATGATGCTCGTCCTGAGACGCATGCAGGCAGGGGTCGGCATACATTCATTAAAACCACGTCTTCACACACACACACACACACACACACACACACAAACACACCCACATGCAAACACACACACACACACAGACAAAGAGAGAGAGAGATATGTATATATATATATATATATATGTATATATATATATATGTATTTATGCACCGACAAACAAACACACACACACACACACACCCACACACTCTCCCCCCGCCCACGCCCAACCAAGCCCACGCACTCTTACAAACACACACAAAGAAAAGATTCGATTGCACTTTGGGCGCAGGATGTGCAAACTCATAAACACCTGCATTAACTCCGAAACCTTCAGGTTAAGTGTGCAGAGAATTCAGCTCCTCAAAAAAAAAAGGCTGCCGGCCGTTTTGCAGGGCTCAGCTTTGCAAGAGAGCCGAGGTGCTATGTGACCAGGTTGCTGGCCTGCTGATGCCGTTCCGCTGGCAACGGCCTTGAACAATAAACTCAAATACCTAATATAGTCTCCAATTGTAGTTCCTTATTTGGGCTACATATAGTTGGTTGAACCAAAAAAGGAACTACAATGGAGACTGTAGGTAGCTCATGGTTCATTCGTGGGGCACTTAGGGTTTAAAATATAGACGGTGTAGGTTTTTTGTTTAGGGCTCAGAGTTACTCAAGGCATATGGGGCTTACCATTGAAGGCTTGTTGATGAACGGCCGTTCTCCCCTCAGATAATAGAAGGTTTAGTGAGGGCTGGCGCTTAGGGCTTATTTAAGGCATGTAGAGTTTAGCACAGAAGGCTTAGGGTTTACAGTTCACAGCAGAAGGTGCATGGGAGCTTCAGAAATCAATACGGGAACCACAATATAGATCTGCAGCGGTGCGATACTTAGCACAAGGACCCAAGACGGCCTGTAAGGGTCCTTCTGTCCCTACCCCTTCGCCATAAACCCTACAATGCCCTACGAAGGCCTGGGGTGTACTACAGGTCTCTGCATGTTTCGAGCAGAGTATTGGGGTGTATCAGACGATCATAGCTTTCATGTCATTATGAAACACTTCTATGTAGTTCAGGACTCGTGCCGGTAATTATTCAGGCCCCTATATTCGGGTTCCTCTCAGGAAAGGCCTGGTAGTTGTCCCAATGCCAGTTGGTACTCACGTACACGAGCTTGTCCGCAATGTCGGTAGGCATGACCAACTGAAGGAGGACCCGCGAATATCCTGGGTTCTCATTAGGGCTGAGGGTTTATAGGGATTACCTTAAGCCGGAAAATCCTACCTTTTTCGGGTTCCTTACTATGATTTCCTTGTATAAGTCCTTAAAAAGGTAGGTTGTTCCGGCTTAAGGTAGGGTATAGGGTTTAGGGTTTAAGCAACTGAGCGCCTCATGGGCTACTCATAGGGTTGCAGAAGGATCGTTTTTTTTTTTAATGGGGTCTTGCAAGGAAACCTGAAGATGTGGGGTTTATTGATGTTTAGTGTTTTTGCGTCGTCTGAATAGGGAGATACACCGTGAATACTCAGGCATTTCTTTAACCAGGGTCCTGAAAAAGCACATCAGCAAAAGAATAGGATAGGGATACCCCATATAAATCCCCTTATAATGGTGCCCAGTAAGGTAGGGATATCCCCATAAAAAGCTTATGCTTATGTGCTTTTGGGGTCCCTAATTAACAGCAGCTCGGTCTCCGATAAATGTCCGCGGGTCGAGCTGACAAGGATTCTGCGCCAGTTGCTTAGTCTTCCGCCTTGAGGATTTCGAGTTCAGGGGTTTCATGCCACGTTTATAGGGTATAGGAATGTAGGCAGCTTAATAGTTAGTTGCAGTATTCCATAGGCTTCATTACAACCCAAGTTTCACAATGATCGTTTAAGGCTGGGGGATTAGGGTTTACACTAAACCCCAAAAAGTTGGAAACCTGATAAAGGACAAATATTGCTGAGATTCCCTACACATTACTCTTCAGGATTGAGGCTATTGGGTTTCCAACTTTTGGGCTTCTACTGTATCATAGGGATCCTTAGGGGTGTAGGGGGGAGGGGTGTAGGGGACTATATTTCCTTAAATAGGCCTTCTTAGTCCTTATTATGGGCCTTAAGGCCCCCTACCCCCCCTCCCCCTACACCCCTAAGGATCCCTATGACTGTAGGGCACCTCGTCTCCAAGCTCGCCACTTCATCTAGGTCGAGCCGGCGTGCTGGTGCAAATGGCTCAGCTGTTCCTTAGAAGCTGAGTACCAGGGTTCAGCTCTGCTCCTTAGGGCTTTAAGATTTAGGGTTGCGGTTGACTTAAACGTGGCAGGATTAATTAAACAAACACAGAAAGGATTACTCTCAGAATTATGTCAGGATTAAAAGAACGCACAGCGGTGAAAAGGTTGCCTACTCAGCTACTAAGGTGCCCTGCCAACACGTCTCGAAGATATTGATGTGATCAGATTGCACAGGCAGCCGATAGTAGGCTACACACTGCAGAAGTGACTGGAGGTTCAACAGCTTGGTGCGGACAGCTTCGGAAACTTTCAGCTTCTCCGGCATGACCTCGCAGGATTGTAGGGTGTGACGGGCTACGGGGTGAGACTAGGGTTTACCTTACTGTAACCCTGAATATTATGATTTCCATCTAAAAGTCCCTAAAAGGTAAGTTATTCCAGGTTAAGGACCCTAAACCCTAAACCTACGACATTCCCAACCCAAAGAGTCTGCTGGATTCGCCGGATGTGATTGTTGCTCCTATCGGGCATGGAATGGAATCCGAAAGTGCAACGGGCCTATGGGGGTACCCTAAACCCTAAACCGTGGGGGTCCTTATAATAAAGATCCTACTATTTCGGGCCATAGTTTCGGAAACTCTCATATGAAATTACCGTGTGACTTGACATGAGAGGGCGAGGGAAGGACAACTTAGAGCTTTTAGACTTCGCCCCCGTTTCAAGGCAGTCTGAGATTGGTGCGTTGTCAAGGCCAGGCACTATAAGTGCTATGGTATAATACTAGTATACTCTTATATAATATAGACTCCATGGGTCCGAAGGATCCAATATTTTTCTTCTTTCTATTAGGTACTTGGCTTTAAGATAGTAGTTATGTAGGTTAGGACTTTGGAGAGTATATGATTATTAGGTACTTGGACACTTGGGGAAATGACAATGTAATATCACAGAACATCATCCACTGGGTCGTACTAAGCCCTGAAGAATCGAGGTTAAGACCACCTCATGAAGAGATGTCCGGAAATCTGCCCCAGTGTGGAGCGTCTCCAAAAACTCGGATCTCAAATCGGAGAATCCTGCGTTTCCTTGGCAGCTCAGCGCTCCAAAACCGCGGCTGCTTACGCAACCAGATGAGGTCCTAGTCCTAGGTGACTTTGAGGTACCTTAAGCCGGAATAACCTACCCTTTTCAAGGACTTATATAAGGAAACCACAGTAAGGAACCCTAAAAAAGGTAGGATTTTCAGGCTTAAGGTAGGGCTTGGGGCTTCGGGTTCGGGGATTCCTACCACTTGGCACGAAGAAACCTACCTATAGTCTCCATTGTAGTTCCTGTTTTTGGTTAACCAAATCTCTATTATAGGATCCTAACCATAAAACTGGATAACCAAAAAAAGGAACGACAATTGAGACTATAGGTATTCTAAACAGATGGGGTACCCCACTCAGCAGGGCCCTCTATCGATTGAACCTTACTAGTTTGGGTTGTACATAAGGGCTCATATCTGGCACAAGCCCAAATCGCAACCGACCAAACATGCAAAACCCAATCCAAAACCACCCCTGGACGCACTGCTTGGTCATCAGCCGGTTTAGGACTTTATAAGTCCTAAACCCTACACCCCCTAAACCCTACACCGGTGTCGTTGCGAGGGCTTCAGTCAAGGTCTTTTGACTCTGTGTCATGGTTTACACTCCTCAGAGACTCCAAACTCTGCTCAACATAAGCAGTAGAATGTTTTTGGTTTAAGGTTTAGGGTGTAGAAGCACCAGACTTTACTAATTAGAAGAATCCTTCAAAACATTGGTTTGTCTATACAAGCCGTTTTCCTGAGCTGAGGGGTCTTGCAGTTTTCTTTGCAAAATTCATGCCAACACACTTTCCTTCTCCCTGACTGACTGTGCGTCCGCCTCTGTCTGTTTGTACGTCTGTGGTTGTCTGTGTGTACTCGCTTCCCCCCCAGCTTTCGAGGAATACAGTGGAAGCACAATCTTTTTCTCTCGCTCCCTCCCGCTCTTCCCTTCACTTCTCTTCTCTTCCCTTCTCCTCCCTCCCTTTCCCTCAGTTGGACATACTTGTTGGTTTTTGGCCGGAGGAGTTAGGAGCGAGCTGCACTGTGGCATTACATGGTGTTGGCAAACGCCATTTTGCCTGGAGCCCGTCAATTTTTTCTGCAGTCAACACAAGTATCCTCGTTTCAACACCTGACTTCTCTGCCATCTACAATCGAGCTACCTGGAGGCCAAAAGTACGTAGAATAATAACCCTTTATATGGTTTTGGGCCAATATGTTACCTGCTTTTCGGGGTAGACGTACTTAGGATTTAGGGGGGTTCAGCTTTTTTAGGATGTGTGGGTTTAGGGTCTGTTTATGCCTCCCAAAGACTTAGGCTGTAGGCTTGGAGGTGGTAACAACTCTTGGGGGGTACATTACTACGGACGGGAACCCGCAAAACTTGCCTCCAACGTCAGCCTTAAGTGTGTAGGGTTTAGGGTTGTTAAAACCAGGGCCCCAAAAAAGCACATAAACAAAACATCAAATAGGGATATCTCATACAAACCCCGTTATAATGAAGCCCTATAAGGTAGGGATGTCCCCATAAAATGCTTATGCTTATGTGCTTCTTGGGTCCCTAAAGAGTTGCTGGAATGTTGCATATGATGAAGCGGCAGAGATGAAGCAAACGACCCTCTTGCTGTAGAGGGAGGCTTTGGGGATTGTCACCCGTGGGACTCTGCATGCCACAACTTTCGTTTACTGCCATAAGTATTAGTTTATGTGATCTTTCTTTACATTGTGACAGATATAAAACGAAAACAGAACATGTTTCAGCACATCCAAGTCCAGCTTCCTGTGAGGCCATGCCGGCGAGAATGCATAAGCTGCCCCCAACCTGGCTTATCGTAATTCCGGGTCAGTAAGGGTGTAGGGTTTGGGGTTTAGGGCTTTGCGGTGGAGTAGAGTTTACGCCTTGCAGAGAAAAGCGTCAGGTCTCCTTTCAGGCTTTGGCGCCGTTGCGACGACGACTCCAATATCCCTTAATTTAGGAATATTCCTTAAATTATAGTAGGACCCCTAATACAAATTAAGGAATATTCCTTATTTAAGGGATATTGGAGTCTGAGGGTACTACTTTCTTACTGCTTCTGCTGCAGCTACTAGCACCTGCCTGCTACGAGGTTATAACTACAAAGCCAGTTAAGAGAAACCCACTACCCGCCCCACCCAAGACCGAAACCCTAAACTCCAAAAGTAAAAGGAGGGATCCTTAATAAGGACCCCTAGGTATATACCCTTAATACAGCTATGATATACCCATTATTATTGCCCATTATAGGGTAGGGGTCCCATTAAGGGGCCCTCCTTTTCCCTTTTGATAAACCCAGAACCGAAACATCTGAAGCTATAGCCATCCCGAAGTCAGCTCAATACGTTTTGAATTTGGACTTTGCTTAGGGTTTTTTTCCCTCCTACCAGGGTTTAGGGGTTTGGGGTTTAGGGTTTAACTCTGACGAAGGATCCCCTCTGAAGTAAGAATCTTCTTGCGGTAAGCTCGGGTGGCAGCACTGCACTTTTACGTGAATCGGATCCCTCTGAAGTTTAAGATCTGTTGGTAAATTCGGGTTCGATTGGGCTCTCTGGCTCTTTGCAACCCAGCCCTCCCGCCCGTCAACCCCCCCCCCCCCCCCGGCTTGACATCTGGTCATCTTTCTGCCAGCCCTTGCTTGTCGCAGACCCGAGCAGATTCACCTGGGTTGGCCTTTAAACACCCTGAAAAATATTTATATATAGGGTCCCTTATAAACCCAAATAAAGAAAATCAAAAATGTCCCAAAATCCAACCTAGTCACGTTCACTTCCATCAGCCGCTCGGGAATGCCCAGTGTAGCGAACTTCCAATCTGGGACCGTGCTTTCCTTGGGACTCAGGGCTATACCTGTAGTCTCCATTGTAGTTCCTTTTTTTTGGTTTAACCAATTTTATGTTAAGGATCCTAAAAGGTAACCCCAAATAGGAACTACAATGGAGACTATAGGTAGGGCTTGGAGCAATAGGATCTTTCTACGAGTCACTAACCCCTAAACCCTAAACCCCCCAAAACCCCCCCAAACCCCAAGCAACAAGCAGAAATACCCCAGGTTTTGCCTAAGCCTCTGGGAAGCTCGCATCTCTCCAACTCCCTATCTCCTGGTCGAGATATTTAGCAAACTCTGCCGCAGTTGTGAAGTTCTGCTGTCGCAGCTTCTCGTCTTTAAGCTTGGGCACGACCTCTATGATCATGTCTGCTGCTTCTGCATAGACCATGTCATGGCAGCTCTCATAGGTTTTCGGTCCCATAGCATAGTTCACAATCCACTGCTTTTTCTTCCCCGTCGGATCGAAGCTTACATGGAGCCTAGTTCGTTGTTGGGATAGGAGTAAACATGTGCATTTTTATTCCTTATTGAGTTTAAGTACTCATAAAAAACGTAAAATGTTACCCAACTATGACAAAGGAGCTCTCCTTCACCCAAGATGGCATTCGTCAGATCTGCGTCGCGGACTTTCTTTCCAACAGACTGGCCCTCACACACGGATTCCTTCTCTATGAAGGAGGGGAACTCGTGCCCTTCTTCAAAGAAGCCGAGCCCCAGTGCGACGGTGCTGATGCGGTTGGTTGTAGAATCTCCTTCGAGGTCATTTCTGACATACAGAGCACTGAGTCCTATACCCGAAACCCCAAACCCTACCCCCCAAAACCTGAAACGTGCTCTGCATCTCTAGCTTTCAGGACTCGGGAGTACCCGAAAAGAGGTATACTCATTCAAAACCACCCCAAACTCAGTGAACCCTTTCTAGAACCCAACAACACCCTGTACAGCTCCATAACCCCCAGCCCTAAGCCCCAAACCATAAGCCCGAAGCCCTGAACCACTCAGGCCCTCCAGGGGTCAGGGGCCTTGATACCCATAATAAGGACTTAATAAGGCATATAGTCCCCTACCCCGCTCCCCCCCTATCCCCCTACGGGTCCCTATCTAGGATGCGCAGTAACCTAGGAATAAACAGGGCTCGCTTTTTGATATTGTGTAACTTGATACGGAACCTAGGACTACAAAAAGGGAATACGGGTACTACTGGGCACCCTAACCATGACTAAAAGGCCCCTTCCAAGAATGCAGCCGAGTTTCCTGGCCGATTGACATCCGTCCTAGCCATCACCCCGTGAGCCAGCCAGGCCATGAAGTAGCTCAAGAGTGAGCGGGTCTGGTACCTATAGTTAGGGTTCAGGGGTTTAGGGTTTAAGTTTAGGGTCGAGGGTTGGTAGGTTTAGGGTTTAGGGTGCCTGAAATCCTAAACCCCAAAAATATCCCTGGGGATCCAAATAGCCCAAAAGCCTTACATGGTATGGTCTTTGGGCCCAAAAGCCTTAATATATTAGTCCTTAGAGCCCTAGGGTATGGGGGGCCTTCATAACAAGAAAGGGCATTACCCGTGCTTCTATGCTACCAGTGGTTGCCGAGCTCCCTAGGCCCTAGGCGGGTTGACTTTGGGGTTTTAGGCGGGGTGAGGGTTTAGGGTTCCGGCGCTCGCACTCGGACGGACCTGGCGAGGCATGTGATTCGAGGTCGAGTTTGTTGTGAAAGAGATTATCGACAGCCTGACGACCTAAACGCAAAGCGTCCCTACAGACTACCGGGGTTTAGGGTTTAGGGTTGGTGGGATTGTATACTTGTTACAAGGACCAAAGTGGGGAAAACGGTTACTGACTCAGCCAGGAAAGTCACAATACAACCTTGTCTTTGTTGCTCTCCTCCACGCGTTCTATCTCGCGTCGAATCTCTTCCGTCCCAGGTATGCGATAACTCCTTGATTTCTCGACAAAGCAACGGATACAAAAGCCCCCCCCCGGGACTTGGAACTACATAGTCTGTCTGGATCGGTTCAAGAGGCTTGCTCCTGAGTGGGTCCTTCTGGTAGTCCATAAAGTCATGCGCAGGAATGCCATCACAGCCCAGAGAGAACAGCAGAATTGGCAGCAGCAGGTGGAAAAGCATGCGCCGCTCTGTGCTGCAGAGTTTAAGGAGTTGAAGGGTTACAGCTGGCAAATCGGCAAGATCTGCCTCGTCATTCAGTTTTGGCCGGGGGTTTTCAGCAAGCTTTCGCTATTCGTATCATTCGGCGGGTCGAGCCTGCTCGGTTCAAGTTGAAGGCACTTGGTTTTAGGGCTGAGGGTCTGCGGTGGACGGATTTAGGAGCTGGCGGTCCAGCCAACATATTATAGGGGTCTTAACAATCAGAATAGGGTTTGGGGGTCTTCCAGCTCCGCGAGAGGCATCCGGGGGGCTAGGGTTTGGGTTCAAAGCCCTGTATGATCTGGCTTAAGTTGCGGCCTCCTTTGCTCGCAAGCTGATGCTTCTGGAAAACTGAAGCAAGCAAACAGCTGCGAGCCTGCGCACACACGTCCGCCAAACTTGATACGGCTTATACGGCATCTCTCCCGCACGCCGAAGCCAGAAACCCAATCTGCAAAACAGCCACGACCGACAACGTCACGGGCGGATACGCTCAAAGGGCAGGGCACTTGGCAAAGAGGGTGTGCAAACCATGACATCAACATAGAGTACTTGCAAGAAGCCAATGCCTCTCGGACCACGTGAACCCCCAAACGAGCCTATGGTTCAACCCCAACATTGGGTTTGAAGTATAGGGATCTTCGAACCAATTCTTAAAACGACCCTAGGATTACCTGCTTCCACTGGAAGGAAGACCAGGCACACGATCGAGCTCACTGTTTTACTCGTGCCTAAGGCGCTCGACGATTCGAAATTAGAAATGAGAACATATTACAATAGGTTTATTTATTTGCATGTTAGGAGTCTTGATATAGGGGCCGGAAGGATTGGAACGGATCCTTGGGAATTCCTTCTACGAGAAGTTTGTGGTTTTATACGGGCTGTAATTAATAGGGTCGTGATGGCGAATTACGACCTCATTGCCATTCCGCGTGAAGACCCGTTTCCGCTCAGTTGGGCAAAGCCCTCAACGGTGAGTTTACGTCCCACAGCCCTCAAAATGCTGGGCCTGCGCATCTTGTGACCCAAAAAGTTGGAACCACTACCAAACATGACCGAAACGGACTAGTCCGAAAACGAACTGAACCTGAAACTCAACCGCAAAGTCTTACAGCCCCTAGTCAGGACAAAATCTAAACCCCAAACCGAAATAAGTCCGACAAACGAATGCAAACTATCTAGCCTAGCAACCTACCCTCGAAGCTTACTTACCCGCATGCTGGGTCATATGGGGCTACTGATCTTATAGAAAAACCTATAAAAGCCTGTCAAAGCATACATAGACACCTGAAGACTGCGTGTAATCTCTCTCTCTCTCTCTCTCTGTGTCTCTCTCTCTCTCTCTCTCTCTCTCTCTCTTTGTCTCTTTGTAACAAAATTCAAACGTATATGCATATCTATGTATACACAAATATTCATGCGTCTAATGTTAAGGTACAGGCAACTTGGCTCTTAGTGCTAGATGCCCGGTGTAGAGCAGCGCCCGCCAGAGCCGGGCCACTCCTTCGCTTTTCGGATTAAGGTTTAGTGCCGTTTACCCAGAGGCTCCATAGTAGCTCCTTTCTGGGATGCATATGTAGAATCCGATAAGGTAATACCAAAAAGGAACTAACCACCAACATGAACTACCATGGAGATTATGGGTAAGGTTTAATTAGTGCCATTTAGGGCTAGGGCTTGAAGGTTTTTCGGAAAGAGTATCTTTTAACATGTCTTTGAGAGTCTTTTACAGGTTCCTTTAATGCTTCTCTCATAAAGAGTTCGCTTCATCAGCTTCACTGAGCTTCTTGTGTTCGAGGTCTCAGGATTCAGTTTTACGGCTTTGAAGTTCTACAATTAATCGTAAAGGACCATAAGGGTATCTCGTATTCAGGCACCCGACTTGGACTGAAGGGCTCCAGGCGAAGGTTGACCGAAACTTGACGGGGACGATTGGGGTTCTGTGAGGTGTCAGGGTTCTACCGACGGCCTATACCGAAGAGCAAGCTTAAACTACCTTATTCAAGGATCCCCTCTATAAACCGTCATGACCCTACTAATCAAAGTTCCGTACCCGGGTTTGGGGTTTTCCGGAGGTAACCAAAATCGCTGCTTGTGGGTGTAGGTCCAGAGTTGGGGCGGAGGGAAAGTTCAGAGGGCTCAGGGTGCGAAAGTGAAGACGCTAAAGCCGAATACAGGTGTCTTAATAAGAACAGGGTTTGGGGTTTTACTGAACCTAGAATATGGAACCCCCCCTAGTATTGTAGTTTATTAAGAATTTTGGCCCATATGAGTTTGAGGTTCACGGGCCGATGCGTTTGGGGGTTTGGGCGTCGGCCCGGCCCTGTCCGATCGGTGCCCTCAGAAAATGAGGTGATCGAGAGAACCAGCAATGAGGGGTACCTTAGGGTTCCTTTGAAGGGTTAATAGAAGGTTACTATTAATAAGGGTTCCTTTAAAGGGCTCTATAAGAGTTTAAGAGTATCAGAAAAATAGAGGTACCTATTTTTTGGGCTCCGTTTCATAAGGATCCTACTATTTAGGGTGCTATATTGGGGTCCCCTATTTTCGGAAACTCCCAAGTGGGGGTCGTAATGGTATCCTGAACCCCGGACACGGCCCTAAACCGGAAACTTCTGCACCAACCGTATGAAATACTGGCAGAGGTACATCAAGGATGGAAGACACGCTCGAGTCAGCCCATTGTCGGGGACTCCTCAGCAATACCTCAAGCCTCAAGCTCTATAAACAATGACTCGATCAAGGCTTTCTGTCAAGAGAAGGACGCTTCCAAAGACATGATTGAATGTATACATACACCTCCTATACAAGCGAAGGTAGGAACAAATATAAGCCAGACGGCGCAAAAAAAGAGGAACCCCTTTAGCGTTTAGGGTTTAGGGTTTCGGCAACACAGCCACTAACCCTAAAACCGCCAGCTCCCGGGACGCCTCCCAGCACCACGTCCCGGCAGTCGCGCACCGGATACTCGCGGGTCGCCAAGCAGCTCAGCCGGCAGGCAGCGATGCAGGTCTCCGTCCTAAGGTGTGCATCTTCGGGAAGATGTGGAAGGGCAATCAAGCCGAATGGCAAGCACAGATTCTGAACTTCCAAGACAAAAACCACGAGTCGCAGCTGCAGGAACGACATGAACAACTTAAACCCTAAGCCCTGGCATTTTGCATCCTGGGCGTCCAAAGGCACACAGCGTAGGCCAAAAGTTCGAGCCCCCACGGCTTCCGAGAAGTTGTGGAGGAGCTGGGCGGCCTCAAGGTTGGTAGTGTAGGCGCCTTAATAATTAGAATAGGGTTCCCTTAAAAAGGGCTCAATAAGGGTTCCTCGAAGGGATACTGACTATAAGGGATTTGTGATGTAGCCGCCTCAATAATCAAAATAAGGTTTTGGGGCACATTATACTAAAACTACAATAGGGTCCCCCCCCAAAAAAATAGGACTTGTAATCATTTCGGCCCCTATAGTAAGCTTGGTTGTTTTCTAAACACCGGTTTAATATGCTTGACCCTTTTTGCTACTGGGCTCGAGTCTAGCCAGTAACATGTTTGACCCTCAACCCCAAACCCTACTGTTAACCCTCAAAACTGGACGCACCACGGGTGTCCCAGGTGAAGGTGTTTAGGTGGGTTCATGGTCCGGGTGTTGAATGGCAGCCGGCTTCGGATTCAGCAAGTGATACAAGCAGTAAGTATTTCGGGGTGATGCTACATATCTTTGGACTTACGTATTACAACTTACTTACAAAGCCCTGACCCTAAACCCTAAAACCAAACTCTAAATCCTGTACACCCTTAAGCCTCTGAACAAGTAGACACGCTCTGTTTTTACCCAGCCGCCGCGGCAGGACCACCCCGCGAAACACCCTTCTTCCGCAGTCCATCCAGAGCTGTTTCCAAGGCAGAATCCTCAGATTCCCGATCATTAGGGTTTAGGGCTTAGTTCTCGGTTTGGCAGGGGCAGAAAGGTTTGTGGTGTCCTGTCTACAACTCCAAACCAACAATCTAGTTTCCAGCCGCGCTTACTAAATTGAATGTTCCAAAATTTGTTTGGACTGCTCGCAGACCCTAAACCCTAAACCGTGGCAAGCATCCAAGAAGGCCTCCTCCTCCACGGCTACACGGCTCAGCTCCTCGCAGCGCAAGGTGCACCGCGACTCCCCCCAAGGAACCCTTTAGGGTTTAGGGTTTAGGGCCTACCCCCGTGCTTTCCTCCTGCAAAACAACAAACCAAATCTTCAAACGATCAGAAGAACAAAACACCCTGAAAGACTTCCAGCCGCTGCCGTAAGCAAAGTACCTGGACTCTGGAAGTTAAACGCCCACGAGTCGAATCGGAAAGCCCCCAACCACAAACAAGAATGAAACGAATTCACCGCCAGAAAAAATTATACCGACTAACCATCAAAACCTAACACGGACATGTCGAGACTAAACTTAACAGCACGGGGTTATTATACAGTCCCACTTGTAGTATCCCTGGGAACCCTGATGGTGTCGGGGCCTGAATAATTAGCACACAGGTTTTGGGGTTTCATTACATACTATAACTACTAGTAGCCAGGAGCCCCGAATTTAGTATAATGATGCAAAAAAGGAAGTCAGGCCTATAAACCCTAATCCCCTACACCCCAAGTATAAATATGTAGCCCCTCTATATAACAGGCTCACAGTAATATTTTCAAAGAACCCTAAACCCCTAAACCTCTAAACCCTAAACCCCTTCTCAAAATGGGCTTGGATTGCGTGCCTAAACCCCTAAACCGTAAACCGTGAAGTCAACCCCGAAGCTCCGTGTCGCAGCCATGCGGGCCCGGCTGCTCGAGGAACCAAATCGCACGGCGCTCGATCTGCGCACGTCCCGACCTGTCGGGGTTCATCTAGGGTTTAAGGTTTAATTAGGGGTTTAGGGCTTAGGGG